CCGCCCCGCCGGGCTCCGCCGCTCGCCCCAGCGTAGCGCCCGGCCGCCGCTCGCTGACCCGCTGTCGCCGCCGGCCGGGGCCCCGGGATGCTCAGCGGCCCCGCCGTCCGTCCCTGCCGCCCGCCGCGCCGCCCGGGGGGCACGCCGCTGCCGGAGAGTTGAGTTAGGAAGTCATGGTGCCCTGGGAGCCCTCCCCGCCCCGGCAGTGCGGCGGCGGCGGCTGGACGCTCTGCGACTGCTGCTGCTGGCTGCTGCTGCCCGCCGTGCTGCTCGTCCTCGCCCGCCCCGACAAGCTGGCGGCCTTCCCTACCTCCTTAAGCGACTGTCAGACGCCCACCGGCTGGAACTGCTCCGGTAAGCACCGGAGCACCCCGCGTCCGGCCCCGCCGTGCCCCGCCGGGCGCTCGGAGTTGCGCGGATGAGCCCGGGGGAGGCAACTTCAGAGTGTGATGCCGCGTCCCGTTGGATGCACGGGAATAGCGAAGGCTGAAAGTCCCGAGCGTCGGAGCTCGCGGCCGTTCCCGGTGCCACCGCAGCTCCCGGGGCCCCGCTTGCCCCCTGCTCCGCGGTGCCGGGCGCGGCAGCCGCGCCCTCCGCCGGTGCGGGAGGCTCCCCGGGCAGAGAGAGAGCCCCGGCCCCGCTGAGCGCGGCTGTGCGCTGGAACGGGGCACTTGGCGTGCGGCTGCGGGAGACGGGGCCGCGTGTGCGCATCCTGCGGGCGGCTGCTCCCGTGCGCACCGAACGGAGAGCAGATCGCGGTATCGGCGTCGCGACACCGGGAACCCGCTGCCCGCGTCTTAAAGTCGGGCTGACCTCTGTAACGGGTTTCCTATGCAGGTCAGCAGCCGGTGCTTCTCCGATACGTAAAATAATTCGGGAATTAGCCCGTGGTAGCCTTCTAAGGGAAAGAGCGTTATTTGGGGTACTGCGTGGATCGCACATGACGTGTTAGATCGGAGGGAATTTGCGCTGTGAGCTCTTCGTCTTAAACATGTAGCGATACGGTTAAGAGCACTCGGATTTTTTTTTTTTTTTTAAAAATCAATGGATTCAGATCTTAATGGGTTTGGAGTCTGATATAGCTGTTTTGTTTAGTATCTTGCCACTCGCTGTTGGAGTGGGAAGTCAGCTAGCGAAATCTGAAATTCATGCTTGTATTCGTGAACTGAATGTTCAGTCAGATCTGTTGGTTTTTCCTGGAGAATATCAAGGCAAAGAGCTCGGTTCACTCAGCGGCTCGTGGGGAACCTGGCACTTCTCCTGTTAACTTAGAGGTCATCAATCTTCATTGGGATCAGGCAGACCATCACAGAAAACACACAGCCTGTTTGTCTTTATTATTGGGGGCTTTGTTGTGTCATGGGCTGGAGAAATTCAGATTTGGACTTTTGTCCAACAGATTTGTGATCGGATGGGGATAAGTTGATGACATTTCCAACCCAGAGCCATGAAATAGCATAATTACCGGGTGACTTTTGAGGAAACCGTGTCCGTGAAATGGAAAAAAAAGTGTGTGAGGTAGTGGGGAATAAGGACTGAGAGAAACACCGAGAGAGAAACAAGAGGAAAAGTGAAAAGCTGAGGACAGGGAAGGACAAAAGGAAATCTGGACTCTATCAATTTCATCAACAAGGTTATTGTACTGCGTGCATTAAAATGCAATCATCCCGTACTGTTCCTCTTGCTAGACCAAAGCTGACTTTTATTTTTCCTCTCTTTACATTTGAGGTTACGATGACAGAGAAAATGATCTCTTTCTCTGCGACACCAATACCTGTAAATTTGATGGGGAGTGTTTAAGGATTGGAGACAGTGTGACTTGTGTCTGTCAGTTCAAGGTAAGAAGATTGATATTTCGTTCTCTAATTCACTAATGAGAATACAAATCAAGGATCTGCCTTTATAACCTATCACTTGGCAATTTATTTCTCTGTGTGCAGAGAAGTTAGAGGGAAAACCTGGCAGTGTGTATAAAAGCTGGCAGGAGAACCAACTGGTGTCAAGAAGACATAAGTTTCTCTGGGAGAATGCAGATGCTGTGGCTTTAAATGTCCCTTCAGGTCTGCAGTTCCAGGTTGTGCATTTCTGATTTTTCTTCCCTGCCCTTTTAACAAGGATTTAGAGTCCTTTCTAAATTCATTTCTGATACAGATCATGGCTTATTGTATTCGGAGTTCTGATCTAGTTAAAGAAATGGATCTGTAATGTGCTTATGCAATATTTTCAGGAAGAGCTGCATAGTGACAATGCTTCTGCCTGTTTATCTGCCCAGCTGATCAGATTAAGGAGCAATCCCTCTGTTCCAAAATGATGAACTTCCTTTAGGTTTTATATAGTTTTAGGAGAGCTATTACTGAGTAGTAAGGGGTTTTCCTTCTATTTCTTCTCTCTTCCTCTCTCAGCTACATCTAAACCTCAGCCCTTCTCAAAGTCAGATGATTTCATTATGAAGGATTCCATTTAATGTTTTAGCTAACTCGCAGAACAGCTGGTCTTTAAATAATGACCTGAATAGAAACTGCACAAATTGAAGGAGTTTAAAGCATGTACCAGCACAAGGTTGTATGTGTGTTTATGCCCCAATGTTTTTCTGCATTTTAATGTGGATTGGTGAAGTTGTGAAACTTACAATGCCGATTTGAGTGTTTATAGTAGAGCAGGCCAAATAGCAAACAGCTCAAGTCTGGGCACACCTGTAATGACTGTGTTAATATTGAGCTTTGATAGACCATTCACATTAAAGCATTGCAAGTATTGTTTATATTTCTAGAGACAAACGTGCCTTCGGAGATAAAACCCAAGTGAGAAGTTCCTTCATTTTAAACAAGGAAGGAATTTTCTCTAATGAGAGCAAGACAGTAATTCTTAAGTGCTTGTGTTTCCCATGTTGGAAGGGAATTCATATTGACTGTGGGAGTCTTTTATTCCATTTGGAGTTTGTATGCAATCAAAAATTCAGCGTGAGAATGCTGTTTTGAGCATTTGCCTTGGCTCAGCATATGCAGCGATACAAGGGTTATGGTCTGGTGTGTTTTATCTTTCTAAGAAAAATCTGTAAAGCAGTGAAACCTCTGTGACTCGATCCATTGCCTGGTGGTAAGCCAGGGCAGATGTTGTGCCGTGAGTGTGAGTCTCGAGAACTTAGAGCAGCCACTGAGAGTGCTTGGGTCTTGTCTTTGGTCCCTGTTTGCTTGTCTTTGGTCCCTGTTTGAACTCATAGCCTGGAGGGTGCAAATTCAGATGTTGCCATGGGCAGGGAAGAAGGCATTGGGAGCGCTGTTTTCCCAAGGCTGGGTACTAATGCCTGGTGATTTGGGGTAAATGGAGCTAGGTAAACCTCCCCAGGCTGTGTGGTCCTCACTTTGAGAGGTGAACAGTCTAAGTATGCTGAGTTTAGCTGTTCTGTAGGGGGCAGTTGAAACAGATTTAAGGAAATCAGTCAATTGGTATATGAATATGTAAATAAGATCAAAATAATGAGGTGGGCAATTGTGGGCCCCGATCACTAGGAAATGGGTTGAAATCAACAGCAATCTTTGGTTTCAGTGGCCTTTGGATCAGGCCCTGTAAACACTCAGAGCTCTTTGTCTTGCTGTGTGCCCTCTGTGGAGCCGCAGGGCTGACTGTGACCTTGGAGGGCAAATTACCTGTGGCTGATGCTGTGCCAGCGCTGCCAAGGGCGCTGTGGTGCCGGGGGCTTCTGTAGTCAAACGCGAGCCCTTTGATACAGGCAGAGCTTGGGGGGATGTTAGTGCTCTTGTAACATCAGTGGACACTGTGACAAGCCAAAAAGATATGCCACTGGAGTAGAAAATTAATTTCTAGTGTGGTGTGTGAGACTGGCTAAGTGAGGCAGAGCTGGCCAGGTAACTTATGTCACGAGTAACGGGGACCCCCATCAGGATTCAGGACTCCTATTTCAGTGACAGCTCTTTGTGGTGATAGTGAGCAAATCAACAGCAGACTGCTCATCACTATAACTGTGTGTCTTTCGTGTCTTCTTCAGAAATTTGAGAGAATAGACAAGGATAGAGAGCTCATTTTGCCTCACTACTGATGAAAAGTTCTGGGCTGACCAGCCTGTGTTTTGAGGGGCTGAGAACATGGAATTGGAGAGCAGGGCTTCTGCAGTCTTCGTTTGGGTTTGTTCAAACCAGAATTACAGATGCTTCATGTCTGCCCAAGTGGAGTTAAAATGAATTTATTTATATTTGAAAGGATGAATATGATCAGACTGCTCTGGAGCACCCAAGTTAGACTTCCAGCCCTGGAGAGCCAGCGGGCATGTGCTGAGGGAGAGGCTCGTATAGGCTGCTTCTCCTGTCACAGCCTACTGTGACAGCTCTCAGTGAGACATGTATTTTATTGAAAAACACCATGTGCCACTCTGATCAGGAGATGCAGATGTCCCCTGTGCAGGACAAGCCCAGACTTTGGGGCTGGCAGGGAGGGAAGGCTCTGGGACAGTGTGGCTCCTGCAGGAGGGCTGAGCATGTGGGAAACCACCAGCCCTTCCTTCCCTCAGACACAGTGGGTCCAACAGAAGGTGTGTAGAGCTGTGCCAGCAGGCAAGTGGTTGGAGACATGGCTTGCTGGGGTCTGTACCTGCTTGCCCAAAGCCATAGGTCTGCCAGATGGGCTCTTCCCTCTGACATTTCATGAACGTATCAAAAAATATACCAGGTATTTCCATCAGTGTTTTTCCTCTTGAGTCACCAAGCCAGTGGATAGTCACTGGTTTTTATGGGAGGAAGGAGTCCCATTTTCATGCATGTCAAGTCTTCCATGTGCCTCAGTGTTTGTGGAGCTGCAACATCACCTGTCCTGATGACCTGCTGGGCATCGCCTGTCCAACCTCCAGCTTAGTTATATTTCCAGAATATATTTTTGTGCTGCTTGGTTCAAGATGTAGGTGGCATTTTGGGAGTAGTTGATCCATGAAAGGAGGAGGTCAAGCTTTTAACAGTGTTACCAGGAGGAGGAGTTATACAGGTTACAATTATCTTTAGGAAAGCAACCACCTGCTTTCAGTGCACAGCCGTGATCCAAAGGCTCCCAAAGATCGTTTGTCCCTGGCTGTGACAAGGGGCACTCAAGGCTGCAGGTGCTGAGGAAAGCAGCCTTTGACTGACACTTGATGGAATTGCATGAGTCCATTTCCCTGCTCTACAGCTGTATGTTAAAAACTGGCATGTGTAAGAGAGAAGTGGGCAGTGTGGCACTGTGCTGCTGGGTTTAGTGGGAGTTTTAACACGGATTTCCCTGAGGGCTTGCTCAGTCCTTACTTGGGGATGAAGAATCATTCCTACATATAGGGCCTGGTCTAGTGAGCCCTAAACCAGTGACAAAAATATGTCACTAGACTGACATTCAACACCTGATATTCTCCAGCACTAGCAGGAGGTATTTTGTGATCGTGATGAGCTGTGAGTACAGGATTCAGCATGGGCAAACACAACAGTCTAGCTCTAGTGGTTAGGAGCCACTAGGTGACCAACATCACAACCCTCTCGTTGGTGGTCTTGTTTTCTTTCCTGGGTAACTTCCACTACAGTTTCCAGCTCAAAGCCAAGGCAGGATCCATATGGAAGATATCCTTCCCTTTGCTCCTTATGGCTCCTGCCCTTTCCATCTGAATCCTAGTTTCCAAAGGTGCTGGTGGGTATAGTGGACTAAGACTTCCTGGGATCCTGGTGTCTCTCAAATGCATTTTAAAGTTGGCCAACTTTTGTAAGAAGTTCCAGCCTAGCTCACAGCACTCCTCTGTGTGGATTGGGATCTCACCATTTATGTGGGGCTGTCTGGCCTTTCAGATCTGCAGCTGAGTCCGTGTCAAAGATCGTCCCTTGCTCTGGGCACAAGCAGCAGAGGAGTTGCCTTAGCATTTCTCGGGCAGAAAAGTTGCCTCTGTGTTTCTTGGGCAAAGACTCCAACCTTGTTTCTACATGTAAGAAAGCCTGTTGAGATACTCCAGGCCAAATTCCTCACAAATCCTTGGGTGACAAGCAGATATTACACCTAAAGCAAGCATGATTTGATGCTTCATTCTTTGAAAAATATGCACGATTGTGTTAATTGTCATGGTTATGTATTCCAGATCAGCCTCTAGCAATTGCTGTTAAGCTTCTGGATGAAGTTGGCATTTTATGCTTGAAACATTGCTCAGATTTGGAACATAATGGTGAAAATAGCCTAGAAGCATTTTTAATCAACAGTTTAAAATCTCTGCATGGAGGAACCCTTCGTGAGGAGCAGGAGGAGAGGATTTCTACTGTTGTGGCTGCTGTTTTTCTTCCTCGTGCCGCTGGAAGAGGGTGCTGGGGGAGGGGGGGCAACATCTTGAGTAGATTGAAGAGAATACAATGCAAAAGGAAAATGTCATTTGTTTTGGCCCAATCCAAATGTCACTCTGACCAACTATGAATAATTTCTTGGCAGCTGCTCTGTGTGGAGGCCTGCAATTAATGCAATCTATGCAATTGTTTGTGTTAATCACTTCTGTAGTCACTCAGTTTAAAGCATTTTTGATGTTAATATCTCTGATATTTCAGTTCTGTTACATTGTGCCCAGCAAACACACCTCAGATGCATAATGGCATGATACAGCTAAAGACAATGTATGATTTCTTCTAAGTTTTTACTTGGATTTAGGCAGAGGTGAGCATTTGTAAATAATAATTGTGATCATTCCATTTGTTCTAATTAAACAATGAGGCATACTAGGAGTAGGGTAATCACGAGATAATCATATCCCTGGTATAATTGCCATGTACTGGGCACATCCAAGTATTTCTAAGCCTCCAAGCGTGATTATCTTGTGATAACTGCACCCCGTAGGTTGCCCAATTTTCAGTCTAAAATGAAATGATTATCTTTTTTAAATGAACGAGAAGGGGAAAAACTGTCTTCCAGTGGGAGAGGAAATCAGGCAGAGCTCAGCAGGAGTTTGAGCCAAAGCAGGGGTGCGTGGTGTGAGAAACTTCTGCACTGGCTGGGCTCGCTGCAGTGCTGCTGCTCCTGCCCACTGGCCACCATGGGGAGAGCTTGGACCTCTGTGGAGCATCCCAGCTGCAGCGTGCCAGGAACAGGAATGTCTGTGCAAAAAGAGGGATGGACTTTAATCGTTGGTGTCTCATAAATAATTTCCCTCTGGCAGTCAGTACTTGAACACACACACTTGTGTGTGTGCAGACCCCGGTAGCACTGTGGGGGTGTGCGTGCAGGAGGAGGGGAAGAGGGAGCCTGTTCATTACTGTTTGTCTGGAGCCATCCAATGGAAGCACAGGAGCTGTGATTGCAGATGTGAGGACTCATTTGCCTTGCCCTATTCCTTCCCTGGGAATGCCCTCTGCTCCTGCTGGCAGTTGGAGATCTCTCTGGGGCACTTAGTGAACACTTTGCCCGTTCAGATTACCTTTCTCCTAATCTCTTCAAATCTGATTTTTCTTTTTGAAAATACCCCTCCCTCTCCCCTGGTAGCTGTAAAGGCAAGAGAGGTTTGTCAGTGTCTCCCTCTCTGTGGTTTTCTCAGGATTTTAATTCTGGCAGGGAGCAGGGGGTGTGTGGGGTCACCCCAATGGGTGCTGTGCCCCTGTGCTCGTGTGACTAACGCTGCTGCTCTCTGTCCCTTCCCATCAGTGCAACAATGACTACGTGCCCGTGTGTGGCTCCAATGGTGACACCTACCAGAACGAATGCTACTTGAAACAGGCTGCCTGCAAGCAGCAGAGTGAAATCCTGCTGGTGTCCGAGGGATCCTGTGCCACTGGTAGGTATAGATCTAATATTTAGATTTAGATATATTATTACCCATTTTTAGATTACTCTAGAGCTCACCTGTTCACATAGTAGGTGATTTTTCACTCCAGGTTACCTGCCAACCCTGCCACGCCCTCCCAGGAAAATGGCCTGGGGATGACAAAAACCATTTGAATTCTTGTTTTGAATTCATTACTGGTTAATTTTTGGGGAGCATGAGAAGTCGCTTTGCTTTTAAGTACATTACTATAGGCTCACAGTCCCTGATACACGGTACCCCTGGCACTGTTTGGAAGAGTTCAGAACAGGAGTAGATTTGTTTTTTTAATTTGTGTCTTGTGCTCCTGATCATCCTGTGCCCTGCCTACACTTCTGAGCTGTTAGGACAAGAGAACTGGTAGCAGATTAAGTGAGCAGATGTCTGATAAATGGGCATCTGGATTACCACAAACCTCTCCATAATCTGGAGAGAGAGAACTGGAGCATTATTGCCTGCAATCCAGTTTCTTAGGTTTTTCCTTATCCTTGTAGGGCCAGATCCCCAGCTGGTACGATTCAACAGACCACTGGTTGTAATGAGTCCTGCCAATTTATACCAGCTGAAGATTTAGTCCAAAGCACACCTAATGAACAGGTCTGTGCCACAGGTGTTTTGTTTTGGATTTGAGAAAACTGACTGGCGTGTGAGACAGCTTTGCTCAACTCTGAGCCTTGTGAGCTGTTTATATCTCAGCTTGTATGAAAACAGCTAGAAAGGTGAATGAGCAAAATCTGTCAGGAAAACCCAGTTGCTTCTGTGCAGGAGTTCTTGATGTTTTTCTTTTGTGCTCGGTATCTGTTAGAGGTGGGCAGTGAAGTTAACTTGAAAAGAGCAGGAGTAAGCCTTTGTTCTTGAGAGAGTTCTTTAAACTTAAAGCAGAATTTTTTTTCTTGGCTGAGGATGGAGGAGTCAATAAAAAGTACATTAGACAAACTTTTTTCAGTGCTGTAATTTCATGTTTCATACACCTGAGAGAAAATAAACTCCTTTCTCTGGAAATGTTGTTCTTCTCTGAAGCTGTTACCTGACAATTTTCAAGAAGAAAAAAACATATGCTGCAATTTTTTTGTCCATAAATTGGTATTAAATGGAGCTCAGGCTGACAAAACCTACTGTGGTGTAGGATTTGTTCAACTTAGTAAATTCTCTCAGCACAGCAACTGGTCTTTTTGGTTCAAACTTTTTGATGAAAGGGATAATTTCAGCACATTGCTACAACTTTTCTGAAACTTATTTGCCTGCTGGCAATGACTGTGTTGGCAGAATTCTCTTTGAAACACAGTGTGGATTTCAGAAACAGAGAAGGAAAATAAAGATATTTTCCTCAAGTCTTCCTCAAGATCTTTGGTCTCTTTTTGCTTTTCCCATGGAGGAGCTCAGTGGAGGAGGGAACAGCCATTTTCTTTAGGATTTCCCTGTGGGATGGGGCAGAGAGAGAGGATGCTGAAGAAGCCCCAGCAGAGACCTGGGCTTCTGGGAGAAGTGTCAGTGAGCAGCCCTTCTGGGCCTGCCTGGCAGGGATCTGGGCCTGAAGGGTAGGGCAGGAGGAGGAACACAAGACCCTTTTCTGCAGAGAGCCAGGTACTGTGGTAGCTCACTGTGGCAGGCAGCTGCTCGTTCTTTTTCTGTGCTGGGGAGATCTGGCACACCTGGAAAAGCAAAGCTTCCCAGAGCCATGAGGGCACTGTAATGCCCTTTCTTCCCTCTATCCTCAGTAGCTCATTTGGGAAAGAGCATCAGGACAAAGGATCAGATCAGGAGAATTCAGGATGTGGTCGCTGGGAAAACACTGTTATTTCTGTTCCCTTTTTCAGCCACCTTTTGCAGCTGTCCTTTGCAGCCTTGCTGAATAAATCTACCATTTGAAGCAATTCTTGCAATCAATTATTTAGCAAAGATTTTCCTTTTCTTTCTTAGTTTTGAGCAGGGATGGCATGTGCAAGTTCAGATCCACCAGACCTCGCTGTCAGTAAATGAGATCTAACAGTTCACAGGGTATTTTCATCCAAAAGCAGCATTTCCAAACTCTTTCTATTAATCTTGATGCTGATAAATGCATAATTGTTCCACTAAGGGGGAGGATAGGATGGCAGCCTCCCTCCCTTCCCTGCAGAAGAAACTCCTCTTAAGCATTATTTTTGTAGCCCTGTGTGTGTGCATTTCCATGCTTTGCCTTGCTTAGAAAGTTTCTTACTGTAGCTCTGGGCTTGGCAATTTTGTGATGTTGCACTTTCTAAATTTGTGACTCTCATCATTCCAGCCAATAAAATGTCGAGCAGAGGAAAAAGAAAGCACTCAGTTTTGAAACTCAGCAACAACCTTGAGAAAAATGACATTTTAATAATTTACCTGAAGACTTTGAATAATAGTAATATAATGGTTTATTGCAACTAGTTATAATTTGATGAGATGTCATGTTTCCTAAAGATAATGATACGAATTTCAAATGGGTTTTAAAATTTCTCCTTGGTGAGGATTTAGTAGTGACCAACTGGAGTAACTTTGTACTACTGTTGGGAACAAAGATTTACTGTTCTAAGTGCAACAAAACGAGGTAGAGACTTCTAAGGGCATTGCAGCATTCTGTAGCTTATGTTCTTTTCATCTGATAGAGAGACTTTAAAGAAAAAAAAAATAGAGACACAAGAAAGATGGCTTGAGTGAATTACATTCAGATTAGATCTCAATAATTTACCCAGGGATGCCATCAAAGGCGAGGTGCACTGTAGTACACTTCACTGAAGCCTTGCTTTGCATGCTCCCAGCACATACTGGGGCACATGAATATAAATTCCTTTCTGTTCTTTTCTCAGATGCTGGCTCAGGATCTGGGGATGGAGGTAAGAGCCATCTTTTAATATCTCTGTCCTTATGTGTGCACATATTGTCTTCCACAATTTCAGATTGTAAGTGGATATACTTTGCAATCTAAGTTGTTGCGCTACATACTGTCTTTTGTTCAGCTCTGTCTTTGAAAAAAGTGGTATTTTGCATTTCAGTCGAGCTGGAACCTAATCATGACATGCTGTTTTCTAGGGAAATTCAGAAAGCTGTGTTACTTCTAATAGGACTTGGAATTATTCATAGGTTGTGCTAGGAGCTCTATCTCCATCTACTGTTACAGTTGCACTCATTTGTTTTATGTTTAGGGTAATATTTCTTTTGTTTTTAAAACATGAGCCAAACCCTTGGCTCCTCCTCACTGGAGGATTCAAGCCAAACATTTTGTGGTAGCAGAGAGCATTCTTTCAAAGGTATGAAGAAATGTCACAGGGAAAGAACAATGTGTTTTTATAAGAACAGCAACAACAAAACCGAACGTGGAAATAGCCTGAGCCCTTTGTGGCATATAGGGGATACTGTAAAATGTAGGCAAACTAGCGTTTAAGTAGGGACTTATTTTATTGGTTTTTGTTTGGTTGTTGTTTTTTTTTTTTTTCATTTCTTGGTGCAGTCATGATGGATTTGCTTGTCTGACATCAGTCCTTCTTGGAAGTATAAGTGTTGGGTCTGGGTAGTGCCTTGCCCTGGGGTAGGGAGTGTGACTTTTGGAGTTGGTAGGTCAGGCTTCTCTGGGGGCCAGGGCTAGTCTGGGTAGCTTGGGGAGGTTGTCCCAGAGAGTTCCCCTCATTTCTGCCCCAGCTCCCTGAGTAAGCTCCAGGACAGGAGCCCCCTGGCAGGGAAGGGCAAGGCCAGCATCAGGCTGGGAGGCTGCTGGGGCAGCCACCAGGAGCTGAGCCAGCTTTTGGTGTGACACGGACAGCAGGGTTGGGCTCAGACCCGGTTTTATGGCTACTCCTGTCTGGATTCAGGCTTTTCAACTACAATCACGTTACTTGGCAAAGCATCCCCTGGTGCTTGTTTGATTTTGGTAACCAGGATATCAGTGAATGCAGTGTGTATGGAAGGTATTATTTTTACCAACAACATGAGCATGAGGCACTTCAAGGGGCCTGGTTTTCTGACATCACACTCAGGCTGCTTTCTGGAACTCAGGGTGCTTCAAGATGCTTCAAATCTGGCTCCCCAAAAACTACAACATGAAATACCATTTTTTCCAGCTATTCCTATTTTGCTCTAAGGTTATTTTAGATTGTCTTTTTAAACCATTGCACCAGAAAAATACCTTGTTCAGTGCTTAGTAGAAATCTACTATTTGATTTATATGTACAATAGGGTTTTCACACCTATGGTCAATAAATTGGTTTTCAAATGAAGTTGCACTAAATTCATCATGCATGTACTAAGGAAGACAGATAAAGTTTTCAGTTTGTTTTGTAATTAGGAGATGGGAAAACAAACTTGGCCACTTTCTGAAAGTAATGAATTCCATTCTCGGAAAGCATAGGAGTTTAAAGGCATGATTTCCAAAGCCTTTCATTTTAGAAGCTCGGGTTGACAGACAATGAGCAGAGCAGGGCCTTGGGACTGACTGTGCAGATAGTAAGGAAGCAGATTTAGGAAGGAGACAGAACCAAGTTGGTGCATGTGTTTAAAGGTCTACAAAGCTGCCTTGTATTATTCAAGATTTAGTAGGCAGCTATGGCTTTTCTTGAAGTACAAAAGTATATTTATGTGCCCAAAGAAGCTAAATCCAGACAAGTAAATGTTGTCACTACATCACTCTTTACTAGACATGGTCTTGTTGTAAAAGCTGTAATAAATTTTGGATGTCATCACAGTAAGTCTTGTAAAATCCACTCCAGCAGTCATGAGTGGGATGTGTTCCTATGAGAAACCCAAGGTCTTAGACAATCCTATGTGGTTTCTGATTTTTCTTAATTTTTTTCTTTCTTTCTTATGCTTCTCCAAGCAGTCTTGGTTAACAGAATAATCAGTGCAGCATCTTTTTTGGCCAAAGTCCTGCCATAGGGGTGGCCCCAGCCAGCCAGCTGTGAGATAAGGGAACAACATTTTCAACAGACTTGTATCTCATGGTTGGATTTCTTTGGTCTGGTGGGGTACACATCTAGTAAGAAATTAACTCAAGTTGTGTTGTTCTGGTTTTTAGAACATGGCAAGGGTCCAGCTTTGAGGTGGTTTCCCCCATGACTGACAGCAGTCCAGTTCCCAGTACTGCTGCTCCTTCCGTGGAGTTGTCGCATGGAAAATGTAATTGCTAGAGGGCTCAGAAATAGCTGGAAAGGGGCTGGTGGGAGGACAGATGTAGATAAGCACACCATGTGGCCATACAAGCCTCCTTTTCTCAGGAAACTGGTCACAGCATGAACAGAACAGCCAGAGGCTGTGTTTTGGTGCCATATTTTCCTTTCAGGTGTTCCCATCTGGGTTTGCAGGGAAGTCTTCTCAATTTACTATGTAGGATTTGGGTTTTTTGCTTTCTTGTCATGGATGCTGAGATCAGAGGGGTCTCAGCTTTTCAGCACTTTAATGATCTTGAGGGCTTTCCACAGGTGATTTAATCCTCCTTTATGCAGCAATAACATAGAAAACTCCCCTTATTTGTAAAGTGATGAGGGAATCTTTATCTCATTTGGTGACTGAGCCTTCAGCATACACTTTTGGGAATATCCAGTAGATGGGTAGGACAGTAGGTGTTCAAATTTCTTACTGCAGAAGACATTTTTCCCTGTAAATGAAGATGAAAAATGCAGAATCAAGAGCCATTTCAGTGTTTTGATTGCAGAAGCTGGGAGTGTGGTGTGGAATTATTTAAAAACCCACATCCCAGAAAGATACTAATCAGAAAGCCAGAAAGGATGAATGTGAAAGACTTTATACAGAGAGTAATTTAAAGAGATTCCATTCATTTTCATCTATGCCGTTCTCTAGACAACTGGGTTTTTTTAGAACCCAATGATTCATGTTTTGGTCTTGAGCAGCTTTATAATGAATTCTTGCTCGTTTCCTGGCTTCCTTCTAACAGCAACAAACTCAAGATGCAGTATTTCATTATAGCTCTTAATGGGCTAAGAACATCTCTCCTCGGTTTCATTTTCACGCTGAGCACTCCTTTGCCCTGCCTGCATTGTCTGCACTCCCAGCTCTGTTGATTGGCTTTCATTCACAGTCTGGTGGATTCACTGAAGGTGACTGTCACCCTGGGTGTTGCTGTGACCCCCGGCAGGGCAGTGCTTAAACACCTACCTTGAATTTGTTTCAGAGCCTTCTTTAATTTCCATTCAAGTCCTAATGACTTCAGTGGGAATTCTATGGGGCCTTGGGTACACAGATCTTATCCTAGCTTGATTTTTATGTTAATTCTTTATGATCTAGACTAAAGCAAAATTAAAATAAACCAACCAAACGAGTGATAATTCACCAATATCATCATCACCATTTATTTTACAGTAGCATCTAAAGGTGCTAATTCTAAGATTAGGACTCCAGGGTGGAGCACCCTGACACTGTGAAGCAGTTCTTCACAGTAGGGGAGAGAATAAAAACTCTGAAGCAGAGCTGGGTATTTAAGTTGGGCAAATGCTAGAAGCTGCATCATGTTCCAGTGTCTGAATTGAGAATAGCACATGTTGCTACAGAGCCAGCACAGTGCTGGGGATTTTGAGCCCCAGTGTTTGTCAGCAAGCCCATGTGACATCCAGAAAGAATCAGAGATGATACTGCTCTTAAACTTACTCCTGATCTGTTAGACAAACCTGAAAGGCAACAACCTTACAAGCCACCTTATTTTTCCCCTCTCTCTGCCTCTCTTGCTTTGTGTGTGTATTTTAAGGATGAGCATGCCTTGTTTGTTTGTTCATTCTTTCAATTTATCTCTTCAATCTTAGCCAGAAAAAAAAAAAAAAAAAATGAAGCCTTGCAGCTTTTTGTAGGTGCCAACATGTAGATTTAATGATAGATTTGGTATTCTGGTCTGCCTTTCCTGTTGACTTAGAGATGTGTGAATAAACACATACATATTATAAATCTATATGGAGCAGCAGTCATCTTGAAACACTAACCCAGAGAAAATAGGCAGGAAAAAAATTAACACTTTGGATCCCATGTTATTTTTTTAAGGTAAACCATAGTGCAGCATGTATATATGCCTTTTTTTTTTTCTTTTAAACAACACGTAAATGGCTACTTTGACCGAATTGCCTTTGCATTTTCTCCATACTAGTTTTGAATGGTTTACTTGAATTCAGCAGCTCTGCTGCTTTTCCTGTTATTTCCCTTTCTGCTTTATTACAGTGTTGATTGATGGGCAGGGCTATGCAGAACACGCTGAATATTGCTGTAAATACTGTCCTAGCAATCACACTTGAGCCAAAATACACCATAAAACCTGGAGTGTATATTGGTTTGAATGAAGCAGTATACAAAATGCAGTGCTGATAAACACACACATGCACACATGTTCTCAATATAGGGGAGAATACTCTGACTGTTCTAGTTTAACCTTGGAAAGAAAGGGAATTCATATTTTGAGATACAGATTCTTTTCCTTGGTGTAATAGGTGATTCAAGCTTCTGTCATGTGAATTCAGAATATCTGCTGACCCCACGTGTGATTGTCAACTGTAATAAGGAAATAGGAAAGCTTCTTCCACTCTAATTTGATTTGGGAGATATAATTTAAAGCAGCATCAGAAGGTACAGAATCAACTACAGCAACGTGCACCGACTGGGTAAATACCTCTGGAGGGAATGTTTCAGTCTTAAATGATTGACCTGACTGTGGTTGGTCAAATATGTCTCCTTTGTTAAAGGGGTTTTTACCTTGTTAACCTCAGCATGGCACTGAGCCCAAACCAATAAGCTCTTTGAAAGGCTGGGTTTATTAGCCCAGGCTCTTTGTTGTCCTAACATGATTACCTGACTTCCAGTTCAGGGCTGGTGCTCAACTGACCTATATAAGAGTTAGGTCAGGGAAAGG